CATGGGAGGAGCAGCGGCGTGATGGAGTAGGTGGGTGACAGAGGAGTGGCAGGGCAACGAAGGAGTGATTGGAAAGGACGCACGGTCAGAGCGAGGTAACGGGAGCGGCTGGTACACGTCAAAGAATGGTACATGGTTTTCCTTTTCTTCAACAACGTGGTAGGCGGTAGTATTGCGGATTGAWCCCCCTGTGCTGACTTGTCAACAGGTTTGATGAGGGGTGGCACACTGTTTTTTATTTCCGTGAGAAATTGAGGATGTCCGTTAATGTTCCTGGTGTTAGCATCGCCTTGAGCCTTAGAGCTAGCAGTGGGAGATAGGGAATCCTTCCTTCCCCAAGGACGTTGGGGTAGGGTTCGCAGGGTGTGTGGTAAGTAGGGGGCTGTTGAAGAAGTAGGGAGGGGAGTGTTGATTGATTGTTGTTTTTGTCGACGTGCGATTGGCTTGCTTCTCCTCTCTGCAGTAATGATCTATTACTGATTCTATCCTTTGCGTGGTAAGATTCCTGATTCTATAACTTGTGTGTAAATTTTTGAAAATCGTAGTTAGGTTTTCCTTTTCAAGACTTTTCACTCCTACTTTCCTTGTATCGTCGCACCTCCATCGTAGCATATCTTCGAAATTTCGGTTTCTTAATCATTTCTATCTCATCTCATTTTCTGAGCCATTTTTGAATCTGATGGTTCCAAGAGTAGTTTCTCGATACGACTTGCTAATCTACAACCGAGATTGATTTCTCAAGGTGATGTTCGCAACGCTTCTCACTAATACATCTTTCAAAAACATTTCCTCCTTAACGGTTTGACCAATTGAATCTGATGGTTCCAAGAGTAGTCTCTCGATACGACTTGCTAATCTACAACCGGGATTGATTTCTCAAGGTGATGTTCGCAACGCTTCTCACTAATACATCTTTCAAAAACATTTCCTTCTTAACAGGTTTGACCAACGATTCTCAAACCAAAGTTTGAGAGTCGATTTCGTAAATCCTTTTTGGATATCTAAATATATATTCGTAGGTTTTTCTCAACCCCATATTTCCTAACCTTTTGATTAGTATTGCTTCCTTGTCTAAAAATTTGATGTACTCGGTTTTTATAATTGTTTTTCGATGTTTTTTTTTCTTTATTCTTTGAAGTCAGTTTGTTAATGTTTTTATGATAATTTTCTATTGCAGATAACGATCGGTTTCGGTCTTTGTTTATTCTCACCATCACAGGTAGCGGCTGTTGTGCAGAGACTGGGGGGGGTTGTTAGGCGGTCACTGGGGAGGGACCAATGTCTCTACTAGTTGCACCAGCTTGTCCGACGTAGCCGTTGCTGGGGCTTTTCGCCCTGTTACCTCAAGGGGCGTGCGGCTATTCGGGAGTTGTCGAGGGAGGAAGGCACTCCTTGCCGTCTGTATCGAGCTGGTCGGTACTGGGGATGTGGTGGATCCCTGTAACCCTAGCCTCCGGGGGGTTGTGACCAGCTGCGTTCAGGTACGAGGACTGACTGTGGGGATTTCGGTTTCCTCAATGAACGTGGGTTGTGGAGCGACGATTGAACGATGATCATGCATCCTGCTGGTGAGGAGGGCTAACCAGTAGGACGAACATTGGGTATTGCCGCAGTAGTATTAGTGGTTTTGCTGCAATCAGTCGTGTTCCTGTAACTGTTCAAAGAAAGCTTTCTGGTGTTCTGCAAATTCTGGTAACAGCCGGTCCTCTTCCTTACTAGGAGTATAGGATTTCAGACATAGTAGAACCCGGACTGATAACTTCAGAGTTGCTTTGTTTTGTGCCCCTGGTTTTGCCGATGCCAGAACGGCGCTGGCCGGAGCTGGGGCGTAGCTCTGTAACCTGCAATTGGCAGGAGTGGGAGGCCTTGTAGAGAGATCTGGGGTTTGCTGAAGGGGGAAAGCAATCCAGTGGCGAATCGGGGGGGGCTGCCTTGACAACCTATGGGGCTGGGGATAGTCTAGGTAGCGAGAAGAGTTCAGCTATGGTAGGTGTTGGTTAGGTTGGTCTTGTCTCTGAAGTTGCAATATTCTAGTATAGGGAGGGCTAGGAGTTGTTCCAGGATTAGGATGCCAGAATTGCTGGTATAGCACAGTCTTCTCTAATTTTTCACCATCATCAGTAGCATCATCATCATTCGTAGCTGTGAAGAAAACTTTCTCAGATGTTCAAATAAAGAGTGAGAGTCCGGAAAAAATCGAAGAGGGACGGACGATGGTCTGCGCTGAGGGGTAGTAGTTTTGTTGGGGGGCCACCAGGGAAGGGTAGTAGGCGCTGGGTATAGGTCAGGAGGTCGGGGCTGGGACGACGCAGGCCGGTGCTGGAGCGCTTGGAATGCTCTGTAACCCGAGGGAGCCCGAGGGAGCATGAGGCTTGGGGAGTTCTGTCGAGGGAGGAAGGCAGAAACCAGCCCGTCCAACGTGGCTGTTGCCGGGGTTTATCCCTGTCACCACAGGGGCATTGCGGCTACAGGGAGTGTCGAGGGTGGAAAACACTTCCTGCCGACTATACCAGGCTGATCAGGGCTGGGGCATGGCGGTGCCCTCTCACCTAGCATAGAGGGGCTTGAGATCAGCCGCGTCTAGGTTCGAGGACTGATTATTGGGTCTGCGGCCTTCTTCACCTGGTGTGTGGGCAGTTTGTTTGTTGGTGTTAGCGTGGCTTGTCTGTTCTCCTTTCCTCTTTCTTAACGACTAGGTTGTGTAGTAAAAGAACTCAGACATAAATTTCTCTGAATTTCCAACATTTTTGGATCTGTCATGGTGGGTTTTACAAGGGACGCTGGGCCCGGTTCCCAGTCTATGCCAAAAATATGTATTTCATGATGTATCTATGGGACGCTGGACCCGGTTTCCAGCAGGTGTTGCTCCCCACCAATAGATGGAGCGTTTAAAAAAAAAAAAAAGAGAGAGCATTTTGCAAAACAAACGATCATTAAAATATACGAGACCAACATGAAGAGCACACTAAAACCAGTCATTTTTCTCTTCTTTTCTTTTTTTGAAACAACCATTTCGTCAAAATGGACATTTTTTATTTTTTGAACAAAATTGAAACCGAGTTTTTTGGCCGAAAACTCATCAAAATTTGCTGTTCCTAAGGGTCCGGCGTTTGTAAAACGCTGGACCCCCTGGCTGTACATGAACCTAGCTTGAGACCAGGTACATCCAGGCAGTCAGGAACAACAAATTTTGACGAGTTTTCGGCCAAAAAACTCGGTTTCAATTTCGTTCAAAAAATAAAAGATGTCCATTTTGAAGACATGGCAGTTTTGACTCCCCTTTACCATGCAATTTGTTTCACTTATTCCCATAAAAAAAAATCATATCGAAATCAGTGCCTTCGTGGGTTTCATGTGACCCTTGTCACTTCAACTTAAACCGAAAATGAAACTTTCATCGTATATATATGCATGTTTGAGGGTATATATATCGTCAAACAGAGCTGCCCAGTAATACGCAGGCAGAAAGGGAGAAGAGGACAACTAAAGAGGGGCTGCTACAAACTGTTTTGTTGGAGTTTAATCATATGTATTTATATATATACTCTCTCTCTATATTATATTTACATAATATATGCATATATATAGTCAATCAGAACTGCCCTATATATATACAAGTGGATGCGCCGCAGCCACGCTGCAGCAGAGGAGAGGGACGAACAGGGGGGCGGGGCTGTTGTTGTTACACTGCTTGGTTTTTTTTTTTTTTTTTTTGGTCGTCATATTTGCTATACACTCAAAAAAAACATCACTGTGGCAGACTGTTTCCGAGTGAT